TACCGGGAATACAGAAGCTTCACCGGCTTTGCAACTTGTCAGAACCTCATTCTAAAATTGGGATATGAATCTAACAAAAAAGAAGTCACACGAAGTACACCCTTCCCAGATGATTTAGAAGACTTAGAGAGAAGAGGGTTTCGTAACAATTTACATACAGTCCAAACAATATCAAAGCGGTAAAAAACGGCAATTAGCATATTAGGCTCAAACATATAAAAATCAGATAATAAATAAAAGCCAACATAATAGTTATTCTAAGCTCGAATTCTAAACCCTGAACCAGAAGTTTTGGGTTCTTGTCACCAGCAGAGTCACCAGAGCTAGGGCTGTGCATTTGGATCGGATATCCGAAATCCGATCCGACCTGCTCTATTTCGGATTTTCGGATTTCGGATTTTCAGATTGGATACAGATTATGTTTCATAAAATTTTGGATTTTCGGATTGGATTCGGATTGGCATGATTTTAATCCGATCCGATCCGAAATCCGAAATTATATGGGCCTATATATAAATACTACCCTAAAATTTTAGGGTTAGGTATACTTATTCATTTATCAGACAGACCCTAGGTTATATCGATGTTCAGTCCTCTTTTCTGCCTCTCTTCAGTCTTCACAGCTCAGTGACTCAGTCTTCTCGAACTCAAAGTCTTCACTCTTCATCTCAGTCCGACCAAGCTTCCGCCTTTCGTCTTCACTCTTTATCTCAGTCCTCTCGAAGTCTCAAGCCAGTGAACTCCAAGTTCACTCGAAGTAGAAAACTAATCTCGAAGTCTCAACTCTCAAGTTTTCACATTCAATTTCCAATCAAGAGCAAACGACGCAAAACCCTAATAGATGGTAATCCTGGCATTCTCTCTAACTATTAGTTATTATTGGTTCATTTTTGCTTTTCCCCCTCTCTCTTAGAGCTCAAATGTGATGTTTTCCACCTTTTGTTTCACGGCAGAAATCAAATAATGTGTGTTTTTTGTGTCTTTTGTGTGTGTGTGTGTGTGTTAAAGAGATATTACAACATCTTTATTTTGAATTTTCATACTGTTTTTCAATTTTTGTATGTATGTATCGATTTTGTCTTTATGTTCTGTTTTTTATCTCTCTTTCATTTTCTATTCTTCTATTTCTAATTTTATTTTGGTTTTTTTGTTTGTTTTGGTAGATGAAAAACGAGACAGAGACAGTGAATGAACTTCAAATTGTTGAAAAAGTTGGTGAAAGTAATGCTTCAACTAATTCAGATTCAACAACCAACAACAGTGAATCTGAACCTGGTTCGAAGAAAAGAAAAATGGTTAAAGAAAGATCAATAGCTTGGCGCTACTTCAACAAGTTCACTGATGCCGAGGGTGTGAAAAAAGCGAGATGCAAGTTTTGTTTAGAAGAATATGTAGTTGATACCAAGAATAGCGGCACAAGCAATTTGTTATTGCATATTCCCAAATGTCCGACCAATCCCTACAAGGCAGAAGGTAGCCAGACAACATTAGATTTTCAACTGCAAGGTCTAACAGGTGATGTTTCAGTTATCCCTTGGAAATTTGATCAAGAGGCATGTAGGAGGGCTTTAGCTCGTATGATTATTAAAGATGAACTTCCCTTTATTTATGTTAGAAAAATATGGATTTAGAGACTTTGTGAGAAGTCTTCAACCTTTATTCCATATTCCATCTCGTACTACTATGTCTAGGGATTGTCTTGAGATGTACCATGAAGAGAGACTTGCTTTGAAGTCTATTCTTAAAGAATCAAAACAGAGAATATGTATTACTACTGATACATGGACTTCAATTCAAAGAATTAATTATATGTGTGTTACAGCCCATTACATTGACAATAATTGGAAATTGCATAAAAGGATATTGAATTTTTGTCCAATTACTGGTCATAAAGGTCAAGATTTAGCTAGTGGTATTGTAAGTGTTTACTTGAATGGGGAGCGGATAAAGTATTTACTGTGACAGTCGATAATGCGAGTTCCAATGATGTGATGGTTAGAGAGTTATCCAAACAATTTACTAGATGGAACACTAACTTGATGGAAGGTAAGCATGTCCATGTGAGATGTATGGCTCACATCATCAATCTAGTTGTTCAAGATGGGTTGAGAGATGTGAGTGTGTATGTTGAACGAATAAANGTCTGTTGAACGAATAAGACAAGCTGTTAGGTACATTAGACAATCTCCCGCAAGATGGAAAAAGTTTAAAGAATGTTGTGATCTTGATAGGATAACTTCTAAAAAATCATTGTGCTTGGATGTTCCTACTAGGTGGAACTCCACATATTTGATGTTGAAGGTTGCTACAGTTTATGAGGAAGCCTTTACAAAGTATTGTGATATTGATTATGGTTTGATGTCATGTATTTCTAACTGCATTTGTGAGGATGGACAACCTGCAGGTCCACTTTTAAGTAGTGATTGGGATAGTGTAAGACGTATTGTGAAGTTTCTGGAAATTTTTTATGAACTCACCTTGAAAGTATCAGGTACACTTTATATTACGTCTAATGTGCACTTTCTTGAAATATGTGTTGTTGATTCTTCTTTGAAAGAGTTGATGCAAAATGAAGATGCTTTCTTGAGAGAAATGGCAAAGAATATGAAAGAGAAATTTGACAAGTATTGGGGGGATCCACATAAGATGAACAAAATGATTTTAATCTCATGTGTGCTTGATCCACACCATAAGTTTAATACTCTTTCATTTGCACTTGGTGCTATGTTTGGAGAAACAGTAGGTTTGAAAATACAAGAGGATGTGAAAACATACATGGATACTTTGTTTAATGTGTATGCAATGAAAAATGGTGGTTCTGGTTCATGTCCGTCTTCTCCATCTTCTCCATGTTCTGGTCCATATTCTTCATCATTGCTCTCAAAATTCATGCTAGATTTAAAGAAGCATAAGAAATGTGGCGGAGTTGATTCTAAAACGGAGTTAGATAAATATTTGGGTGAAGATGTTGAGGAAGACCATGAAAAATTTAACATTCTGGGGTGGTGGAAGTTGAACTCACCTAGATTTCCCACTCTTGTTGAGATGGCACGTGATGTGCTAGCCATTCCGATTTCTAGTGTTGCCTCAGAATCAGCCTTTAGCACCGGCGGATGCATACTTAATCCATTTAGGAGTTCATTGACTCCTAGATTGGTTCAAGCTCTTGTGTGTGTCCAAGATTGGCTTCATAATGAATCAACAACTTCGGTTAAAATTGAAGAAGATTTAGATAATCTTGAACAACTTGAAGCTGGTAAGCCTATCTTATTACTTGTGTTTAATATATACTTTATTTGTATGTTTATTTAGATTACTTCTAAACTAATTTCTTGTGTTACTATTTTATTATACAGAATTTATGAATACGGGAAGAGAGCCTTGCATTGTCGACATATAGTGATTTTCCATTTGTTGTACAAGCTCAGGTATTTTATTATACACTTGCTCCTTGTTTTGTTGTATGTTTCTGGAATTTGGAATTCTAGATAGCTTGAAGCTTTAAGCTGTCTTTTTCTTTCTCTGAAAATGCTCTTTGAATTGTTTGAAATTGCAGATTTTTAACTTGTCTCACAGTCCTACTGAGAGTCTGAGATTGAGAGCTACATTTGGCCTGGTTGCTGGTTTGTGTTGACTATTGTGGCTGCCCAAAAGTTGGAACTTGGAACTCTTTTGTTTTGTGTAATATGTTAAAGAACTATTGGGACTTTAGTAGTTTGGTTTGTTTTATTTTGCTATGACAATATGGTTTGAAAGAGAATTGATTGTGTTTTGTTTGGGGTCATCAGTTTGGTTTGGTTTGAAACTTTGAAAGACAATTGTTGCATTATGTAAATTTCAGATTGTGGTTTTGTTTGGAGATGAATGGTGTTTACTGTCCAGTAACAGTTGTGTGGAGAACTGGAGATGAATGGATATAAATTATGTTTTGTTTGCATTGTTAAATAGTTCGAACATTGTTACCCAGTTGTGTAAATTCAACTCAGTTGCATTATTAATTTTTATGAGTACTCAGTTCAGTTAGTTGTGTAAATTGAACATTGTTAACAATGTTAAGTTCGAACAAGTATTTGGAAAGTGATTGCTCAATTTGTATTTGGAAAGTAATTCCCAACATTTGTTTATGTACTTCGAACAAGTACTCCAATAAGTGACAATCCGATTCGACAATCCGAAAAATTATCCGATCCAAAGTTTAAAATCCGATCCGATCCAATGTTAATTCAGATCGGATTCGGATTTCCCTTTTCAGAATCCGAAATCCGAAATTCGAATCCGAAATATGCTAAATCCGATCCGATCCAATCCATGCACAGCCTTAACCAGAGCTGTCACACCTCCTTTTTCTACCCCCGAAAGGGATATAAGGGAGTTTTTTCCAATTTAAGTGACAATCGAAATGGGATTATTTTTTTTAAGTTCAGGGTCGCCACTTGGGATAATTATATGGTGTTCCAAGTCACCGGTTTAAAATTCCGAATTAAGGAAAAGACTCTATTTATGGTCCGCGAAATACAAAAATCCGGGTAAGGAATTCTATTAACCCGGAAGAAGGTGTTAGGCATTTCCGAGTTTCGTGGTTCTAGCACGGTCGCTCAACTATTATATTGGCCTAATTATCTAATTAATTACATATTTTAAATCTACGTGCATTATTAACTTTCTAACCGCTTTTAATATTTTAGGAAAAATTCAAGGTTATTTAAAGCACATCGTAAGCCACGCTACATGAAATGCACCTGCGATTCATGACACATTTTATTTAACCTTATTGAGAATTGGAGCCGGGTCACATGAAATGTACACCCGAATTTTAGCAATTACAAATCACAACTACATCACGGGAACCGTACCCGTAGTCATGATAAATATTTAATTAACGCACCTAAAGCAAACTATGAAATTCATTTTTAGTAACCAAGTCATAATATTTGTGAGGGCCATGAGTGGTCTAATTATGGATGTCACACCTCAATCCATTTTTTTAAGAAATCATACTTAACTATAGCCATCTAAAGATGTTTGGATTTTCATCTAAATTAAAATTCAATCTAGAGCTACTCAAAACAAGCCTACATGGGGTAATATACTTAAATAGTTAACTATTTGGGGTAGGTTCCAGGCTTGCAATAAGCCCAGAAACTCCCATAAGTCCTAAGAGGGAAACTGGGCTCGAGGTGAGGCCCAGAATTGAAGATGAGTCAATAGCAGGCATCGGGGTTCAACTGGGCCAACTACAAAGCCCAGTTCTTAAAGACAAAGCCCTATTGTACGACTTATTTTTATTATTTGAAGTGAACTTCGTTACATGAACATCCTAAGATCAAACAATGCATTTAAACCAAAAATAAAGAAAAAACGAAACAATGAAGCTAAGGCTGAAGTGCCCTAGCTTGAAACGTGACTGGGCTGTCTCGATTTGAGCCCATATCAGGCATTATTCGAAACTCAACAGTCCTCTTACCCTATTACAACCCAAATCACTTGTAAATTTTAACTAGATTAAAAAGCATATCCTGAGACCAAATCATGTTACTATATTAATGATACAACACTTAGAATCATAGCAGCCTGCACATAATTCATTCTTTATCACTGTCATAAGATAATAATATTCCTAACTTTAACCAAACGTAAACATGATTTCAACACATATGGCTTACTAACATGGATTCATTCATGACTAATCCCAACTATAAACATGCATTCATATTTACAGAATTAATGGCGAGCATGCTGAAGGTGTTCAATCACCTGAACTCATATGGCAACTCACAGACAACAATTTAATACAGTCCCACGTATTACAATTAAGGTATAACTGAAGCTACCTAGCCAAAATGCAAAAAACAACAACTAAAATTAACTCTAACTTTCAACATTCAAACGCCATGACTAACTGCCTAGAGGTGAACATCAAATTTAAGCCAAACATTTCAAAAATGAACAGAAAACTACGAGTAAAAGAAAAACAAGGAAAAAGTCATTGAACAACAACGGATCTGGAGTTTCACTTTCCAATCAGCATATTATAGCCATATTTTTGCAGTTGTGATAGTATCTGGATACAACAAAAGGGAAAGAAAATCTCAAAATCAGCTAAAGTGAATCAATAAAGAAGGACCAGCAGCAGTAAACAACAAACAGAACCAAGCAGCTTCTGTGATCAACTATTTTCAGCTTGGAGAAAACTAGAAATCCTCATGAAAAGACTTTAAAGTTCTAAAAGAAAGATTAGAGGCAATTTGAGCCAACTTTGATAATAAGAGTGTAGAGAACCTTTTGATAATTTTCAGGGAATAAAAATCTATCTTAGTCTCTGATTTTTGTATGAAAGAAGGGTACTACTTATAAGCCTCCAAAGCCATGTGTTGAATAACCAATTAGGAAATATTCCCTTCAGCTTGAAAAAGCATTTTTCTAACAGAATTGGGACAACTGGTTGTCCCTCATTGGCTTATGCATTTTGTGCAAACCAAACGAGACCAGCTGCCCCTATTCTAGAGCCTTCCTAATGTGAAAATTATCTGAAAGTCCTTGTTTTATTTCCCCACTTAAACCCTAAGTTTCTAGTTGTGCAATTAAACCCCTAGAAATTCTAATGATTTACAGACTAAGGCAAACAAAAATAAAAATCTGAATTAAAACAAGGAAGATCAAATGGAGCCAAATTCTAATTCAATTAAGCCTTTAATTAAACTTAAATTCCTTTATCATTGAACTGAAATCAGAGATGACACAACACATACACATTTGAACCTAATACTAGCATGAATCCAGAATAATGAGCCATTCTCTAAGGACTAAACCATCCTATCAATATTATTACATCAGTACAACATGATCAATGCAAGGAAACTAACCTACTGATCCGAAATTATCCAAACTAAACCAATATCGACAAACCCTAAAATAACAAACTGATCAATTAGTAATTTAGGTAAATATGCTTAGCTAATGAACCCTAAAACTACTGATTAAACAAGTCTAAAGACTGAAACAAGCAAGATTTTTTTTAAACAGATGAAGAATGAACAAATTAACAAAAAATGAAAGAAAACAAAAATAAAAAAGAACATAGTCTAAAACTTGAAGAAGAGATAAAGAAGGTGGAAAGGTGAATGATACCTTGCCAAGAAGAGTCAATAGTTCTTTTTAGGTCTGTTTCATCCCGGTTGACCAACAGAGGTCTTTTCCTTCAAGGGATCCGGTCTTGCATGGCTTTGACTGGATCTCCTTGAAAGAAAAGACTTCTGAAAGTCAAACCTTTGAAAAAGAAAAAGCACGGAACTCAGACTCGACAAAAACAGAAAACCCCTTTCTTAGATTTGTAATTCCAGAGTTTTGCGGGGTTATTTGGAAAAATCAGTGAGGTATTTAAGGAGAGGAGGGTACAGGGGTAGCCTGTTGAAATTTTGGACCGATTTGAAGGGATTAGGGTTTAGAACCTGACTTTGGATCTAAGATTCGATGATTTGGGTGGGGATTTTGGAGAAAAGGCTTGTAGATCTGGAACAGAAAGGGGAAAGAGGTTATATGGTGTTAATTTGGGGGTGTTTGGGGTGTCGCCGCCGCCGTAGGCGATTTCCGGCGGGTGGTTGACGGCAGAGACGGTAGGGATTTTGGGGCGACGTCTCTAGGGTTCGTTTGAGAGAGATGAGGGTTAGGGTTGGGGTTCGAATGAGGGGGAGGCTTTCAGACAGCTATATACTAAGTGATTTCCTAGTTCCGAACCATTGGATCAAAAGAATCCAACGGTTGTGATAAGACAGGGGTAAAACGGGGTCGTTTAGTGGTGGAGGAAGACCTGGACCGGGTATTTGGTTCTTGGGCTCGGATTTGGGGCGGGTTTGGGGTGAAAATGGTTTGGGCTTCAGCAATTTTGGCCCAGGAGCCCTTTATTCTCAAACTCCCTTTTTTCTTTTTTATCTCTTTTCTTTTACTTTTTTTTAATTATTAAAAATCCTAAATTAATATAAATTGTAAACTAAACTAATTATCTAATTACAAAAATTATAGAATTACTTGATCCTAAATTAAAAAAAGAAAAATCAGTAATCTAAAAATGTAAAATGAGCCATTTTTGTGATTTTTATTTTTTTAATAAAATAAATTATTAACTAATTAATCCTAAAAATATAAAAACAAAACCTGAATGCAATGCATGGTATATTTTTGACGTTTTTCCATAATTTTAATAAAAATTAAACGTGCACAAAAATGCAAGCAATTAACACAAAATTCTACAAAATTGCAAATAATTGAAAATTTACTTCTTTAATTTGTAGGAGTATTTTACATAAGACAAATATCACGTGCTCACAATATATATATATATATATATAGATAATAAGCAAACTGAAAATATTAATATATTTATTATTTTTTAAATGTTAACATCACTGGCTGCTCAACAAAATGAGAGGACACTTTGTTGAGAAAACACTGTTTCGTCGAAAGATTCTGTACATCTGCTTTTTTTCGACGCATTTCTTTAGATAAAGACTTCGTTTTTTCCTTGCAACAGAACAATAAAAGCCAGTCATTGAGGGAATTGAATTTTTTTGTACAACCAAAGAAATATACCAAATTCACAAATTAAAATTCTACCTACCAAGTACTGTTCTGCAACAACTGGAATTTGTTGCTAGCATAGCCAAAAGTTACTTACCTCCCGTTTGGCTATAGATTTTGTCTTTACTTTTTAAAATATTTTTAAAAATATTATTTGTTTATGAAATATGATCATGTTTTGGGGGAAAAATTCATATTTTCAAATTTTTAAAAATTGATTTAAGGCAGTTTTTGGGTGAAAGTTTTTCTTCCACTCACAAAACTTTAACTTTTTTAAAAATAAAATACATGTCCAAACATCACTTTAACTATCAAAAATTATTTTTCAACACAACTTCAAAAATTATTTTTTCAAGTTTTAATCAAATCTATGTCCAAACGCTTTAGAATTTAGGAATAGTTGATAGTGATATCAAAATATCAAGGAAATTAAATGATGATATGACAAGCTTTATTTGGTAAGGAAACTATGCAACTACTTTTCTTCCTAAGAATACACAAAAATGATATTCTTTTAATGAAATCCAACAAAGTTGGAAGGAAGTATTAAACTATGTGAAGCATACCACATTCATCTTATATTGTGGAAAATTTTGAACTTGATTTATTGGATCATTAAAAACACCTTTGAGCTTGATTTATGGTTCATTAAAAATAACTAGGCGTAACTGGTAAAGTTGTTGTCATATGACCAGGAGGTCATGAGTTCGAGTCGTAAAAATAGCCTCTTGCAGAAATACAAGGTAAAACTGCGTACAATAGACTCTTATGGTCCGGCCCTTCCTCGAATCCCGCGCATAGCGGAAGTTTAGCACACCGAATTACTCTTTCTAAAAAAACACCTAGGCATGAATATGTTCTATGTTTAGTGTTTTTCATCACTTCAATAAAGTCGTTGAAGTCAAGAAGACGATCTGCATTTACATTAAAGTTTTTGAACTACAGGAAGTTAATGCAAGAGTTCATACAAATAAGCAACTTTTTACCAAAAAATATTAGTTACAAAGCATTTTAATAACATAAGGCCCTTCCTCTTTGATTGGATTATGTCTTGTAATAGTAACATAAGTTTGTTGGGCTACTAGTTTTTGTTCGTGGAAAGGACACCAGTTAGCCACTTTTAAACAGGTTGTTTAAAATATATCCACAGTTTATAATATATTTAAAAATTAGTCAATTGCTCAAATTTCAGGACACGACGTCGTAGAGTTTAAACCTCAAAGTTCATACTTCAGGACATCGTGTCCTAAAGTTCGAAAATTTTGTCAAGAAGTTCGAATCTTATGTCCTGAATTTTAAATTACTAGTTTAAATATTCAGGACACGCAGTCTTGAATTTCAAATTAGCAGTTCAAAAATTCAGGATACTAATCCCAAATTTTCAAATTCACGATACTTAGTCCTGAAGTTTGGATGAATTGGCTAATCTTTAAATACATTACAAATTGTGAATATATTTCAAAGAGTGGGTTTGAAAGTGGCTATTACTGCACTTCGACCTTTTTGTTCGCTTGCTAGGGGCATCGACCCATTTTGCTTTTGGGCCCAACTCTTGTGCGGGCGAGTCCAATTCCTTTTTTAACTCCTTACAAGCTCACTAGAAGGACAATTCCTTATAAAAAGAAAAGATAGCTCTTCCTAATTAATATGGAATACTTTCTTAAAAGTTCATTTAAGATATACAATTTATTAATTTAGAATTCAACAATTCAAAAGAATTAATTAGATGCGTCGAGTCATATTTGGTAAAGAGCGCTTATCCCCTCGAACTGAAATTTTTCGATGTGAATCCTAATTAGTCAGGTATGGAAACGAGCATCAAATATCGAGTGAAAAAACAAAGACTAGGTAATAGCAATAAAGCATAAACATCTGATAACTACATAGATTTGCATCAAAATTTAGCACTCTCTATACACACATCAAAATTCTTAAAGTAATTGTAACAATGAAATTATTCAAACTCAAATATCCAAAATTTCTAACAACCCTAAAAGCAAATGGATAAAAGGTTGATAAAATTTGAAGGAAAAAAAAGGACTACAATTCCCTATGGTAGAATTAACTATACTTATTTTTTCTTTATTTCTTTTTCTTTTCTTGGTGCATATTTACAGTTAAAAATAAAAATAAAATTTGGTTGTGTTATTTCAAAACTCTAGCCTACCACAACCAAAAAATGTAGGCTAAGCAATTTCCACATCTTCTCTTTTGGATTGGCTTGAACATTTTAGTGAAAATCTGCATGTTTCAATTGCATCTTCAATAGTTAAGAACACTGATTCCTTTCCAATCACATCTATGAATCTTGTCACTATCAACTTTTCCATAACTCCCAATCTTGGATTAACCAATATTATCTACATAAAAAGAAATTGCAATAATAATAATAATAATAATAAGAAACTCGTGAAATTCCTGTGTAAATACCGATTAATTTCACGTATGACCACTGAACTTTATTTTGCTATAAATGTAAACTCACAAAATTATTATAGTCAATAAGTTCAGTGACCAGTCGTGAAATTAATCTGTAGAAATGACATCAGGTAGCCACTTTAAAGGGCTGCTATTTAAGAATTAACAGTGCGTCTTGAATCTTAATTTCTAAGTTCAATTTTCCAGGATAAAAATATCCCGAGTTGTCCTGAAGTTAAGATTTTGATTTAAAATTTCAGGACAAAATGAGTATTGGTTAATCTCTAAATAACATCCATAGAACGACTATTTGTGCCCTAATTAATCTATGTAAGTGTAATTGAATAAGGAAGTAAAGTTTTACCTTGATCCCTTTTGCGCCTAGGGATTTACGAATTTCAAATAAAGTTTCAACACCCGTTATGTCAATTGATGTAACACCTACATTTCATTTATTTAGTAAAATTAGAANTATATATATTGTTAGGTAATGATAAGTACTCATACCTCCAAAATCTAGTATCAAGAATTCAACTTCATTTCTTTTAGAGCTTTCAAGAGATTGCTCATCTCTGACCCATCTTAGAATCCTGCTCAATTTAATCATCAAAATAAGATCTAATTATTAGAAGATTTTTTTTAAGGAAATTAAAGAAGCAGCATTTTGGTCCTGTTTTATAAATAATAATAAAAATAAAGAAATTCAGAGGGAGTCTTGGCGCCGCAATAAAAGTTGCCGCCACGTGGCAAGTACAGTCACGCATTCAAGCCGTGGAAATAGCCTCTTGTAGAAAGGCTCAATAAGCAGTTGCGAAACCAGAAATTTCCTCAAGAGTGTTCAAACTTGAAAGAAATAAAAAAAATTCTCGACAAAGGGCGTTCAACATATATTATGTACCTTTAAAGATATTTTCTGACACAGTGTAATTTTCTGACAAAGGGTGATCACTTGACCACACTAAACAAAATGTGGCTTCGCCCCTCACAATAAGGCTGTGTACATGGACCGAATATTGTTTGGTCTTTGCACGAACCCCTCGTATAACGGGAGCCTAGTGCACCAGCCGATAGCGGGACATATAAAAGAAAGAAATTAAGAGCAATTTCTTACCTTTCTCTGACATAGTTGCTATTTGGGAAGTATATTGGAGAACCAAGCTTCAAAATCAGAATTCCTTGAATTCCATCTACACCAGGATATTGTTCTATGTCTCTAAACACAGTTTCTGTTATGTTTCCAAGCTTGCAAGTTGGTGGCCTTGCTACATATAGAAGTGCTCTAACCAAGGCAAGTCCAACCTAAATTACACACACAAAAAAAAAGTTAAAAAAAAAAATAATCAAACATTGATCTATGTGATATTGCATCCGCTCTGTTTAATTTTATATGACAGTATTTGACTGGCTACAGAATTTAATTTAAGAAATAAAGAAAGACGTTTGGCTCGTACCGACATCATGAGTCCCATGTCCATGCTTATAAAGGCAACACCCAAAAAGGCAACCATACAAATCAAGAAATCAAATTTGTCTGTCTTGTAGAGGTGATAGAACTTCTCATAATCAATTAGGCCAAGCATTGCAGACATGATAATAGCAGAGAGAGCAACGAGTGGTGTGTAGCCAAAGAGCGGAGCCAGAAATAGTAGGGTTAGCAACATGCAGAGTGACATGACTACATTTGACATTTGAGTCTTGCATCCCGCGTTGTGGTTCACCGCAGTTTTTGAAAATGGCCCTGAAAATAATTAGTAGATACGCTGAGAAGCTATATCTCCTAGACGAAAGACTTCTAAACCCTAATTTTCAGAATGACATTCAGAATGACAACAATCGACTTATTTCAGTCTTACAACTAAATTACCCGTAGTCAAGTAGCAAGAAGTGAAAGAGCCAGCAATATTCATAAGGCCAATTGCTACCATCTCCTTATTGCCATCAATTTGTTCATTATTCATAATGGAGAAACTCCTTCCAATAGCTATTCCTTCCTATAAAATATACCATTGGAAAAAGTTAACCCACATATTTTTCAAAATTTAATTTTTAATTTTTTTGTTCTAGTTCAAGATGGTTATCTTGTGATTATTGAGAACGAATTAAATCAGATAGTACTACTATTTAGTCAATCTCTCTGACTTGCTTCTACGACACCAAGATCGAAAAGACTGAAAAAATATATGGAAGGAATGTACTTACAGCTAAAGAAATAATTGCTGTGATAATTCCAGCTTTTACAGCTACATATACATAATCCGGGTTAAAAGTTAGAAGATGAATGGATGATGGATTTATTCCTTTACTCAATTCACCAACCTGCATTGAGGTAAAAAAAATTGCTCCAAATATGAGAGAATAAATGGAAAAATAATTTAGTATATATTAGAATTTTTTTTTTTTTTTTTTTTTGCATTTCTTTGTACTCCCTCTGTTTCATTTTATGTGACATATTTTATTTTTGATTTATTAAAAAAAGGTACCTTCTTATAATATTAGAGACAATTTAACTTTAAAATTCTCATTTTACTCTTAATTTATGTTGCGCTGATTCTCCAAAATGATGACATACCCGTGTCAGATCTTCCAAAAATATACTATTTTTGAAGGATCTGACATGCACCTGGCGATATTTTTGGAGAATCCGAGCAACATAGCTCTTAATGACATGATTTTATAGTCACAGAAATATCATGGTATATATATTTAAAACCACAAGTTCCGCTAATTTTTTTTTCAAGTATGTATCTAGTCAAACACTTTCACATAAAACGAAACAAACATATTTATTTATTCATTATTTTGAAAGAAAAGAAGACTAAAACAAAAGGAGAGTTTAACTCACAATGGCAATGCCATGTTTCTCAGCATGGAATAAATAAGCAAAAAGGCAGCCAAGTATGACAACAATAATTGGAGCAATGGCTGAAACCCAAAAAAGATTTGGTTTCTTCTTTCTCTGCAAAATTCCACAATTATTTTTCTCAGATTTAATTAATGATACGCAATATTTCTATATTGTCAGTGTATATAAATTAAAACAACTTCAATATTAAAAACTCACCACATATCTAGATAATTGTAGGAAGACAAGGAAGATTACACCAACAACTGCACACTGCCATGTCCACTGTTTTAATGCAAATAAAAATAGAAAAAAAGGATATCAGTTAGTATTAAAGCAAAAAATTACTACTATTAAATAATTCAATAGGTAGTAAATAATTATAATTTCTCAATATACTGTCTATGCAATTTGGACAAAACTAATTACATCTTTTTTAAATGAAATGCACTTTTTTCTATTTTTGCCTTTAACTCTCTTTTATGCTTTTCCTTTGGCAATATATTGATTTTTTATGAGTTTAAGTTTTATGCAATAACGATATAAATATTAATTGGTAACCTGATAAAATAATAGTAATATTTAGCTAATTTGCTATCACATTTTAAATTACGGTGATATAGTCAAACTTCTCTATTAGCGTCGTTTGTTCTGATACTTTTGGCTGCTATAGCGAAATGTTATTATAGAGAATATGTAATATAAGACCAGAGGCGGATCCAGGATTTAAATCCTATGGGTTCAACTTTTTAAATTTTTAGCATTGAACCCATTATATTTTTAAAATTATGGGTTCATATCTACTATTTTTGCAATTTTAATGAATTTTTACATAAAAAATTTTACTACACGTCAAAAGTTATGGGTTCAATTGAACCGGCTGAGTATATGCTACATCCGCCCCTGTATAAGACAACATGAAAATCGGTTCCAAAATAAACTTGGCTATTTTAGTGAAATAATGTTATAAAGGACGGCTGCTATAGAGAGATTTGTAGTGTAAAAAATAATTATAATATCAGTGTGTGCATACAATCAGACCTTCTATAACACCATCCTTATATAACAACTATTCACTATAAAAGTCAAGTTTTTTCGGAACCGATTTTAACATTATGTTATAATATATGTTCACTATAACAAAACTTTAATATAGCAGCCAAAAAATATCAAAACAAACAAGGCGATTATAGAGAAGTTTGACCGTATATATAATTAAAATTGACTAATTACCTCTTTTCTGTTTTCAAAGACAGAACGTAAAACATGAACAACATCAGTATGGCTAGTGAAATGTTTCAAGCCAAGGATGCCCTTCAGTTGCTGTAAGCAGATAATTACTGCTGTCCCTCCCATAAATCCAGTAATTGTTGAATGTGATAGAAAATCCACCAAAAATCCAAGCCTGTAAATGACAATATAATAATTACTAGACTGTTAACGGGTTGATGTAAACATCCGATGCAGAGGTAAATTTTTACCGACTGTTAATTGTTGGACATAATATCATTTTCAACTCCAATGGTTTACCTTATATACACAGGCGTTATAAATAATTGTACTTTTGATTTCTCGGTTATTGATAATTCCCTTAAATATGGAGTGACAATACAAATTTAACATAATACAAGGGTATTAATTTCTTTTACAGTCAAAAATTCATTATATTTTTGTAAGGGTTCACAAGAAAAGGATCAAAAGTGCACGTAGTCAATGATTCATGATTAAATGTGCTTAATCAAATATCACAAGGAACAGAATTATAATTTCTAGATACTTCAAGGACTAAAAGCACAAATCTCCCTTTAGTTCTTACACTAATGCACTAAAATCCTGTTATGAGCGGGGTCCGGGGAAGAGCCGGACCACACTACTCTTGTAATTTAACTTGCTGTAATAGGCTCTGCTCGCACTATTTTTCAATTTACTAATCTCACTTTTTATGAATAATTACTTATACGTATCGTTTAAATAATACTATAATGTTAAAATTCTTTTACACTATCAGTAGTATATATCGAAGTTTATACCTTAGCACACCCAAGGCTGTTTGCACCAAACCAGAGACAAAGGTGGCTGTGTAGAACAAACTGAGGTACAATTGCATATTTTCCTGAGGTTTAACTTTTTCTTGAATGGATTCAGCAATAAGTAATGAGCAAGTTGCCACTGTCCCAACAGCAAGATGTTTTGAACTTCCAAAAACAGCATAAATAAGAGGAGGAACAAAGCTTGAATCTGCAGACAAATTCATAATATTAACCAATGAATTCAAAAATTAAGGTTATATCATTGAAAAGAAAAAAGACAGCCCGGTGCACAAAGTATCTCATATTCACACAAAATTCGAGGAAGGGCCGCATCCCAAGGGAGTATGTTGTAGGCGCAATGACCAGACCCAAGCGACTGTTTACCAAAAACACAGGTCTTCGCAAAGTCGTAAGACCATGTATGGGGCTTGACACCTGCCCAGTGCCGGAAGGTCAAGGAAGTTGGTGACCTGATGATAGGGGACTCCACCCTGTAGGAACTACGAGATCGCCCCAAGGACGCCTTCGGCATCTAGGGGTCACGGGCGATGGCAGCCTTATACCCTGACGCAAATATTAGTGGCTGATTTCACGACTCAAACTCGTGACCTATTGGTTACAAGAAATGAAGGCGGGAGAAATTTTTGACACGATCGGATTAAATTTTTGTCGATAATTCTCTACATCTTGTAGATGATAGGATATCTAGGCCTTGGAAACCAAGGGATTTTCCGCTGTGTGATAATTTCTACCGACGGATAATGTTTTCGCAAGGAGAAATCTGTAAGTCTCCTAAACTAGTATTTAGGTTGAAATACAACGAAAGATAATTGCAGATAACTACTCATAAAAAGTTAAATTAGCATCCCGAACAGAGCCGAACTCAGGATTTAAATTGTATAGCTTCAAATCTGTTATATTTTTTAAGTTATGAGTTCATATATACTATTTCTTGCAATTATAGTGAATTTTTACTCATAAATTTATACTACGCATCAAAAATACTAATGAATCTGATGCTTTCAAGCTGCATCTGCCCTGATCCGAAATAACAATGCAAGCAATATTTTACAACGACCCAGTAAAATCTCACAAGTGAGGTCTCGGAAGGGTAGTGTATATGCAGACCTTACCCCTACCCGAAGGAGTAGAGAGACTATTTCTGAAAGAGCCTTGGCACAAGAAGATGGGAAAGACGAGAAGAGAAGGGAAGGGAATTGCAAGCAATATTCTATAGCAGATTAAATTTCATGGATAGAATAAACTTACAGCATCCTTATATAACAATACTTCTCTATAAAAGTCAAATTTTTCCGGAACCAAATCTCATGTTTTATTATAATATATATGTTTTCTATAACAACAATTCGCTATAACATCCAAAAATATCCGGAACAAACAAGGTTGTTATAGATATGTTTGACCGTTTTCTATAACAACAAATTCGCTATAACATTCAAAAATATCCGGAACAAACAGGGGTATTATAGAGAAGTGTGATTGTATTGTGAGTGCATATAAATTAATGCGATATAACTTACAGAGTCCGATAATCGGAGGAAGATTGGCGAGTTTCGCGTAGCTTATTCCTTGTGGGATTGCAAGACTAGCAATGGTAATTCCAGCAAGAAGATCAAACTTGAATAACCCTAAATTATACTTAGGCAACCATTGAAATATTGGAACAAAATATTGAATTCCCTTTTGAATTCTGATTGAAAGTTTCTCGTTCTTGAATTCATGGAATGGATCATCTGGAAAAAGTGTTTCTTTTAAATTTGCTTTAAGAACTGTTCCAAAACTACGTGGTGGTGCATAGTTAACCCCATGCAATGATTTCTTAGGAGAACTCATTGTTTCTGGCTATTTCTGCAAAAACAAGGAGAAAGAAAAGAACTTATTTAAGGAGAATAATTAGAAAAGGGGAAGTTTAATTCATGTATATATAGGAAAGAACTACTTAATTATATGCGTTGACAGTGTAAAGTGATGCAATAATGATAAGATGGAAAAGAAATTTTATTGGTATTTTAACAGATAATTTAGGGCAAAGATCACCTTAGTCCAGGGCTGAAATTATTTACATTCGGTAGCCACAAAAGTGTATAAATATACATCTTTTGTATATACAAAATATATATTTTTTTGGCTATTTTTTTTAGAGAGACTACTATACAATGTCATTTTTCGATAATGTATCTTATTTTTTAGATTATGAATTCCTGTCTTTATGAGTAATTGCATGCATTAGTCATCTTTTAGGTGACATGTAGAACGACAAATAACGAAAATTGATGCAAGAATGTCAAGGTGGACTTTTTTTTTATAGGTATTTTAGTTTGTTGTAATAGATAACCTGCCTTATTTTTCAGATTATAAATACTATTTTTTTTTATGAACAATAACATGTAAATTGTATCCTCGATATCATGTTCAACGACAACGTGACAAGGTAAAAAAGGAAGAAGAAAAATTAACCAAAATGGATGTCCACCCAACATTTTAAAATAAAAATAGTCAATAAATGCATAATATATGTACCGTCCATGTATAATATATGTATATATAAATGTGTATAACCTATGAGTATATATCGGTTAGAAAAAGTACTAAACAGTAAATCTGGCCAACTATTTGTGTAAAGTAAAACTTATTGATAGTGTTTATCTTGGGACTAGATTTTTTTTTTTAATCTTGGGACTAGATTCATTTCCATTACCTAAGTAAAATTTTTATATCTATAAAGAAAATGAAAAGATATTTGAATGGTAACATCATATGTTTGTAAGTAAATTTGAGTTGGATGGAATCTTTAAATCCAGTTAGGTGTGAATAATGAACATTCCTTAAATGGAATATATGTTTATATTAAATTAGGTGAATATGATTGATACTTTTATTGGTTAAACTATTAATGACATAAGATCTCCTCATACTAGACATGCCATATGAAACTTTTAAAGAGTCATAATTCTTTAATATGATTTTTTCTAAATTAGGAAAAGATATAAATATTTAGACTCTTGTATTAAATAAAATCCTAACAGGCCATATGTAACTTTCAAACAATATTAGTTCTTTAATGTCTTTTTTTCCTAGATTAGGAAAAGATATAAATGTGCAAAAAACATTGTCTATGATCAAATTATAGCACCTTAAAACTAATTACCAAGAATTAATCCTACTTAGCATATATAATCATTAAAATAGGAACAACTCTATGGGTGTGTTTGGTATGACGAAAATTAAGTATCGAATTGAAATAATTTGTGACAGAAAAGATTTTCGTCCAAAAGTGACGAAAGTCATTTTCTTCCTTTTGGTGAAAATATTTTCTAACAACTAAACACAAAAAATGACTTATTTTTTTGGAAAACATTTTTCAGAACATATTTTTCGTCATACCAAACACCCCACATATAATGCAATAATAGTACTCTCATTGGATTATGCAAAAAGAAAATAATATATATCAGTCAGCAGAAATCTCTTTGTTATTTTGTTATTCTTATTTCGTACCCGAATTCTTTTCTGAATAGCTGCAAATGGAGCTGAAATTCCTGCCTGGAACAAAGCTTAGGTTATATTTTTGTATATGAATTTCCTTAAAAAATTTAAATTCCACTACTACACCAAATAATACTCTTGTTGGGAAAATTGATAGGGAAAGAAGGAAAAAAGAAAAATATTGAAAACACTAGAAGGTTGAAGCATTTAAAATACTAAAGATCCATTATATATTTTTGTAATCATAAATAATTTTGCAGAAACTAGGGCAGCCCGGAGCACGAAAGCATCCCGCACGCAGGATCAAAGGAAAGATCACACCCCAAAGAAGGGTGTAATGTTGGCAGAGGCGGACCTACGTATAAGAGAAGAGGGGTCACCGCCCACCGGACCCTATTAACCTGGTTAAAATTTATATATATATGTTGAAAACGATCATATATTTTGTTTGAAATCCTTAAAATCAAAAGTCTGATGGGCCACTAATTGAGCAATCCGCTCATGTATCCTTGCTACCTTCAAACCATGGGTCCGCCTTATAAGCAGCCTAACCCTAACACAAGCATCAGTGGCTAATCTTACACGGCTCGAACCCGTGACTTATACATCACATGGAGACAACTTTACTGTTGTTCCGGGGCTCCCGTCAAATCATTTGCAGAAAGTGAAACCGAAAAAAAAAATTAAAAACTTACCCCACCGGATAGTTTGGAGAATAAATCAATTTCTTATAAGCATGAAGATCAAATGAAAATAAAGAGAAGATAACATGGATAAAATTTGAGACCTAAGGATAGAAGAGATGTCCCAATTGTTGGGACACCCTTATATAGCAACTAATTAAAAAAGATAATAGAAAGAAGAAGTAATTAATTGCTACTTAATCATCTATGGATTCGGAATGAAAATTTGCGACATTTAAAGAAGAAATTACTGGTTGGAAATAAGGTAAAAACGGCTACAAATATGGAGTGGCAATCATTTTAGCTTTATCTATTTTTAACCACTAATGAGTAATTAGTGAATTACGATTAGATGCTAAAAATTTGGATAAGTGTAAGGATTAACACTTTAAAATGATAAATTGTGGCGAAAATAAAAGGAGGATATATTGGGTTTTTCAAATGTTTTTTGAAAAAAAATATAAAAAAAATAACATTGTATAGCCGCTGTAAAAATAATAACCGAAAAAATATATAATTTTTTTTATATATATATACATTTACACACACACATTATGTATGTTATATACAAATTTTATACACTTTTTCGGTTATCAAATATAAATTATTTCTAACACGGGTTAAAAATGATAATACATCGAGTGAACAATTGAAGATGGCCCTATAATAATGGGAAAAGATGCATAGATTTCTTCCCATAAATACAATATCTTATTCGAAAGACAAGAAACAAAACATATGGTAAAATTAGTTAGGGTGTCTTTGGCACCATTGAAATATTTTTCAAATTTTGTCTCAATATCCAACACTAGAAAAACATAAGCGAAGAAAGTTGTTGTTTTTTCTTCCCTTTTGTTAGGTAAGAAGACCACTAGTTGAATTATTATTAAATTATTAAGACTAACAGGAAAAAAAGGTACTACTCTTCTTCTTCCACCACCGATATTGTTACCTTTTAATGAAAATTATTTTTTATGTTGGTATAATAAATAGGATTAAAAAATATTTTTATATACTCATGAATTATTGAATTCTCTTGACATAAAAAAAAACTTTAAATGTAATGGTATAAGGGTGGTTGGTAGGAATGGCCCCGCAATGAACTGGTATTAGCCTAATGTCTCTAAAATTAGAGGTATTTAAAAATAGCTCCCGAACCCGCACACAACTCTTCTAGGACTTCTCGCACCAGATTAAATTGTTCATCGAAGTATAACTGGTTGTCATACTTTTGTTCTTTAGGATTTCTCTACCGTATTGGTAAGTTGATGTTGTTATTACTCTAATTATCTGTTAAATTGTTCATCAAAGTCTGCCAAATTATATGTTTGTGCTCTTCAGAGATTTTTCTACCGGGTTACTAGAACTGATGTATATTTACTCTACCTATCTATTAAGTTATTCATCGAAATCTACCCAATTGACATATTTTTCTACTAACAAAGTATTCTTCAAGTTGCTACTTCAACATATCCAACCACCCCAAATCTGCTCTAAATGATCTTAGATATGAAACAAAGCTTCCATATACCAACACAAACAATTCTCAATCACCAATTTAGTGAAATAACATCGAATCAAGAAGATTCACTTCGTCTTTTTCAATACTTTCTAAGGTCCAACATTGATGTTTTCAAATTTTTACAGTAAATCACCAAAAATTATCTCATCCCATGAGCTCCAAATAACAATAATAAAACATGGCATAGCACTTTTTTCTGTGCCTGAGTTACAATTCAGCTTTCAATGACAACAGAGCTCATGTATGAAATTGAAAGGAAATATTGTTTGGTTCCTTTCATCTCACAGACTTGAATGTAGAATACAATCCTGAGATATCAAAATAATACTAAGTTTTGGTAAGAGCGCATCACGTAATGTGTGAGGATTAGACACACATCAACCTTGCTGCAAACAAAAATTTAGTATTTAAGTGAAGAACGTGAAAAGCAAGCCCATTATCGAGTTTCAAACCGTACATCACTGGCTCTCGAGAATTTCTCAGTTACTAAAAATATGTAATATGTAATACACTTCGAAAATTTGTTCGACCACTATCCACTATATTGAAGCTCGGTCTTTCAAATGGAGATACAATCATTATACAATATTCATCCTCATAATGCAGATATTGAACAATCATTATCCTAAATTTGTTTATACAAAAAGAGGAGGCAAGTGGGGAGGCTGGAAAGAGATGTGAAGACACCCAAGAAAGATATACCAAATTGATGAAGAAACATTCTATAAGAGAAAGGATTCCTTCCAAAAGTAGCAGGATGAGTTGTTGAATTTCTGGAATCTTTGTACAGCTCTCGACCTTGATGTCAGATTTGAGCAATGGAAAACCTTTTTCTTTNGCAGAGGGGGCAAGACGCATTAATCTTCAGCCATTTATCTACACACTGGGTATGGAAGAAATGCGAGCAAGGCAACTCCCTTAGCTCGTCATTGTCCTCGTACTTTGTTAAGCAAATACAACATACCTGTATGCGTTTAAAGCATAAATACTGGTTAATATATGAGATTTACAACTCAATTACATAAAAAGCTCATGTATGTTCAACACCAGTCGACTAGTGAATTCAGCAAGGTTACAGTTCTTATGTAATACCACATGTATTATGTAACAGGCTAACAGCGTACCTCTAAAAGGTCTCATACGATCGAGTTAATCAAAGATGATCCAGCAAATATAATTAGTAACATCCTCTTCGATAGATATGAATAACTGACATGATCTATATGTAGTCCAATATTTAAATTCAATTTTATGTAAAATATTAGGTTGCCATCTGTGTAGAAGCATAAATGTTAAGAAGTATTAAATGAAATCTCATATTCTCTCAGGGGTCGTTTGGTCGGGAAACAAGTTATCCCATATTAATTATCCCGGGATTAGTTATACCACGATTTTATCCCAACCAAACATGGGATAAACTCATCTCAAATTTAATCACGGGATTAATTATCCCTTATTCCTCATACCAAACGAGCCATTAATGATAAGCTTAAGGCCACATACTATTCCATAGCTGTAGAGAGTAACATCATAAAGATTTATTAACTCTTCTTCAAGTACTCGAAAACTTTCAAATGCATTACATTTTTTCCTGGTCTACTGAACGCCCGACTGCTAAAGATTGACAAATCAAATCATTCATTCTCCTTCTCCTTCTCCCTCTCCTTCTCCTTCTCCTCCTTTTGCACTTTAAACAGTTTTACTAAGCACAATTTGCATGTGCATGTGCATGGATAGCTTTTTTCACCTCCCTAACAATGCGTATGGACGTTACCCTTGTTTTTAGGAATGCAAATGAAAATTATACAAAACCAGATCAATCAAAACTACAAGACCAAACCAAACCAAACAGGAAGTGGTAAAGACAGAGGAAACTGTCCTGTATTGTATTCTAATTGCTCTACCTTACTTTAAGGGGGGAAAACTACAAAACTATATTCAAAATACACAATGTGCGGGGTATAAAGGAAACATTTAATCACAAAAATAGACTACAAGAAATACTTTAACATGTTGAGTTTCAACACCAAACACAGGTTATTTTTTAAAATAGTCATTTATTATTGCCTCATTTGATAGTATGACTAGCAGTCATGGAAAAATAGGAACGCTGTCTGTTTGCTTATAACCATTTGGTTGATGTAGTACTCATATAAATATGTTAGATCATTCAGATGCAAACAACATCATATCAAGAAGCAAAAACTACTTTCTGCGAGACTTATCACAAATTCTATTTCTGACTCCCAAAGGCTATAAATGGAAGGATAAACTTACTGCATCTTCTCCCGAGATAGCACGTTCCTTCTCTGTGCCAGTTGCTATAAAACCACCTTCCTCCCCTTCTGAATTTTTGTTTCCATTGGTCTTGGCCCTATACTTATGTGTCGGAAGAGCATTAATGGACTCTTCTGTGGCTCCTCTCACTCCATGCATATTCTCACGGACACCAAGGATTGAAATTATACAAGGCAGGCAGCAACATATCATTGCACACAAGATGAAAGGCATAGCGTATCCAATGCAACTAATGGTAAGAAAAGCTATACATAATCTGCAAAGTATGGATCTAATGTTAGTTTCGGTGATACCAGTGTGGGAAAGGAAGAATAAATAAAAAGGAAACAACTGGACCTGTACAAATTGGGAGCGTCAGAAGAAGATGAGTGCCCCCCAAAGATCCAAACGTTGCCAACGACAAACCACACTGCAAAGAAGCAATCCAAGGCCATCTTGAAATGATCTACCAGTGAACCAAGTCTGGGAAAAGAAACATCAATGCATGGTCAACAAGACTATCCATGATATAAGACAGAATCCAATATCATAGTACTGAGGATACACTGGTTCGTAAAATGCAGATATCATTTTCAAACACAGACTACATTTCTGTGAGAATCTCTATATGGCTGTGCAAAGATTTGGAATACGGAAAAACTGAAGAATGCTTGGAGACGCCTTTTATTATATCATATTAAAGAAATTGGAGAGAAGGTTATGAAAAAAACAATAAATTTTCTAAGTTACTCTTATAAAGCATGAAGCAGTTGTACCTAAAAAATCATCTAGCCGAAACTCGTACAATCTAACTAATGAGGTTTCTTAAGGCAACAACTGACTGCATCCTGAATTAGTGAACACGTTTAGTTGTGTTTTGGGTTAGTTGTACCCAACAGCAAAAATAAAGAAGAAAACACATGAAAAAGAGTAATAAGCATATAATTACCTTGCATTGCTTTGCCTGGTCAAAATTTCTGTAGATGTGTTTCTACCATCTTCCTCATCTGAGGACCGAGTCAATGAGATAGTAATATAAGAGTTTGGCTCTGCAGTGGAATTGACTTGGGGGGAACCTTGACGCAGTTGAGCTGACCTCCGATCAGTGGCTCGGTAACGGTGAAGATACCGCCAGTACAGTAAAGGGAGGCTTGCTGCACATCCAGTTGCATAACCTACAACCCAAGCAAATAATGGGGTTTCTGGGTTTTCCCCTCTTGACAAGGATAAAACAACAATCGCTGCAACAATCTGTCCTAAGGTGAATACTAGCTCAATGGAAAGCCACAACAGGGTATTAAATGGGCTCCAACGACGATCAGAACCTTCACCTCTCCTTGCAATTGAAGGGCTTTGAGAATTTGAATCATTGGACGAAGATGAAGAATGTCGACCAGGCGATCTATCTTC